CCCCCCCCCGCCGCTCCGCTCCCACTTGAACGTCAACGTCACCGTCCAGGACGTCAACGACAATCCGCCCGTCTTCAACCAGACGCGCTACGACGCGAGCGTGCCGGAGAACGCGACCGTCGGCACGCCGGTGCTCGCGGTGAACGCGACCGACGCCGACGCCGGGGACAACAGCCGCATCGAGTACTCCATCAATCGCCGGCAGTCCGATCGCGAGGAGATGTTCCGCATCGATCCGGAGACCGGGATGGTCTACGTCAACAAGGCCCTCGACTTCGAGTCGAAGGAACGGCACGAGCTGGTGATCGTCGCTCGGGATCGCGGCGCCCAGCCGTTGGAAGCCAGCACCTTTCTCTCCATCCGCGTGACCGACGTCAACGACAATCAGCCGGACATCACCGTCATCTTCCTCTCGGACGACGCGACCCCCAAGATCAGCGAGAGCGCGCAACTCGGCGAATTCGTCGCCCGGATATCCGTCAGCGATCCCGACTCCCGGACGGAGTACTCGAACGCGACGGTTACCTTGACAGGCGGCGAGGGTCACTTTGGTCTGACTACGCGGGACAACATCATCTACCTCGTGGTGGTGGAGCGACCTTTGGACCGCGAGGAGCAGTCCGTTTACGAGTTATCGGTGGAGGCGACGGACGCCGGCACGCCTCCGTTGTGCGCCGAACGCACTTTTCGGCTGCTCGTCACCGACGTGAACGATAACGCGCCCAAATTCGAGCACGAGAGGTACGAGGCTCATCTCCTGGAGGCGTCCGAGCCCGGGACGTCGGTGATACAAGTGTTCGCGACCGATCTCGACGAGGGCGTCAACTCGGCGGTTCGTTATTCCTTGGCGAACGCAACGTGGTTCGCGATCGACGAGACCACCGGGCTTATCACCACAGTGACGCACGTGGACTGCGAGGCCAACCCGGCGCCGATCTTGGTGGTGTACGCGACTGACTCCGGACGACCGCCTCTCAGCAGCAGCGCGACCGTGCGAGTCACCGTCCACGATCTCAACGACAACGAGCCGATCTTCGAGAAGCCGCTCTACAACGCCACCGTGCCGGAGGACATGCCCGTCGGACGCTGCTTCCTCAAGGTAGGATTGCGAAAATCATTTTTTTCCCCCGCTGCGCGTGACTAGAGTTGCCAAATTCAAAAGTGTAAATTACCGAACATTTCGTTTTTGGAAACAAAATCGAACCGGATAAAACCGGACATAGAAATAATCATAAAATTAGATTAAACACAAAATTTTGTAAGAAATTATAATAATTACCTTCGCTTTTTCTCTCTACAATATCCGAATATGTATATATATTTACTTCGTTTAAAAATGTTGGGAGATTTCAAACAATGCTGATAAATCTGTGTGTTAAAGATTCGAGTTGATATCCTTTATCAACCTTTACACATATATCAAAAGTGTTAATCTCAATTACTTTTTACTTTAAAACGAAAGAATATTGAGTTCACGAATTAAAATGAACTGCTGGCAGATTACGCGAAATAATCAACTTTATAATATTTTTACTAGAAAACAACAATCGAGTAATTATTACCGATGTTTGATCTTTTACAGTCGTTCTACATGATACCTAGATGCACTTGAATGCACTTTTTGAACGTAGCCCTAGTGGAGCGCCATGAAAATTGGGCTGTTACGTAACTTCTTATGGCGCTCTAAATTTGATTTTATTATTTGGGATACATATGACGTCCGGTTTGACTTGTCACCGAACAAGACTCCTGAAAACCTAATAGTCCGGGTCAAAACCGGACGGTTGGCAACTCTATGCGCGTCACAAAAATGTCAAGCTGAGAAGTTCACATAGATCCGATTCTTCTACTAAAAATGTGACAATAACGTTAATCTCAGTTCAATTTATTCTTTATATTTTTCTAATTTTGCACTGAGAGAGAGAAAGAAAAATTATTCATCTGGCTAAATTAATTGTTTATTTGACTAAGCTAATTTAGTTGTCTTCATTTTGTTGGTGAATGTATGATTTAAATTAAATGTAATATATTTGATTTAAATATATACATTTTTTAGCGAAAGAAATAAAGAACTTAATTAATTTAGAAATTATTCATTTGCTTAAATTGTTTACTTGACTAATTGTAAATAAATTTAGTTGTCTTTACGTAAGATAATAAGTGGCTTAAAATTATAAAAGGAACTAATAATGAGCATACAGCCACAACGCCAGTTATAAGTAGCAAAAATATATTCAATATATATTTAAATCAGTAAACGTTTCGGTCACTATCTGACCATCATCAGTACAAGTGAGTGAAAGTGAATACATAGTCAGCAAATATGTGGTGAGTTAATAAAATCGATAGATTAAGAATTAAATCTATCTTAATAGATATTAAGCATATTATAGTTCTAATTTTTTGTTCTGTTTCTGTTTTTTGTTTTGGTTACAATTAATATTTGGATATATAGCATCTGGCAATCGCATATTTAAATGGAAATATCTTCTATATTATAACAAATTGACATTGATGTTCTACTACTTCTGAAAAATTCTTGTTGAGTTCGGACTGGATTGATTTCTTACTATCGAGCGTCGTATTTTTATTAATTTTTTGCGAACGATAATTTTGTATGTAATCCCCAGAAAGGCGCGCCGAAATGATTTTTCGGTCTTGAAACGTTAACTCTATTAAACTACCGCAGTAATATCACGAGTTAAATTGACTGGCAATTTAACAAATTTTTGATGCTTATTCGCATCTTCGAAACGATCTTAATAATGATGAATAACATATTAAAATCTGTAAATAATTAATTCTTATTGCGAAAAATATTACCTCGGCCGAGAGTCGAACCCGGACCTTTTGCATACCGTGCGAGCGTTCTAAGCCTTTAGACTACCGAATTAAATTAATTTTATTGGTGGAATCGAGCTTTGGCGAACAAACAACAAACACGAATGTTCATGACAGTCGTATTTATTTATAAGACATTTGTTATTCTTTTCTTGATTTCTCACCGACTGCCAGCATTCGATCAAATTCGCTGCATACAGCAATTGAACTTATGCAACAAATAACAACGAACTTTCGCGTTCGTTCGTAGATGATGTATACTCGGCTTGAGAGAATAGGAATCTCTTTACGTCTCTCGCGTCGATTGTGTGCGTTCGAATTTCGGTTAAACGTTTAATGTCACGTCAAGCCAGATGACGAGTGAACGCGCGGAACGCGAGAGTCTACAATGGGAACCGTTTCTCATCCTGTTAGCATTGTTGCGTACAAAGTGCGAGCGATATGTTTACGTTGCGCTTCTCACACGCCGCGCCGCGCGCGGCCGTGATTTTAACGCTGCTCTCTTAACGCCGCGCTCGCTCGCTCGCATATGAAGTCGTATATAGTAACGCTAACGGGCAATTGTTTCGTCAGTCGGGTTGCAACGCAAAAAGTTATACGGAATAGGTCCGCGGGCTGTTGCAATTTTGTGAATTGCTTGTCACGCCGTTTGATATCTATATGACGGACGGAATATTTTCCACACTTGTTCGGACTGTTCGCGGGTGTTACGTCGGACGTCGTAACGCTGTCATCTCCTTTAACAAGCGCGATACCGACGGTGTCTCTCTTGGAGCGTAATTGATATTTGTATTTCGAGAAAGCTAGATAGATAAAGCATTTATTGCTATTCAAGTCTTCTAAGACACACGGAAAGAATAACGTTGCAAAGTGAGGATTAAAATTAACGTGCGATTGGAGTAGAAATTTGGAGAGATTCAAAATAAGAAAATTAACAAGATAAGAAAATTTACAGACAGATGGCGCAGAAATTTGTAGAGAGTATTACACGAAGGTAAATAAAATATACGTAACGTAATGTATAGTAGAGATAATAGACAAGAGCAGTGAAGGAATAGATAAAAGCAAAATGAAAATAGCAATTAATATAAGATAAAAGGTGGCAAATAAATTGTTGAAAGATAGAGAGAGAGAGGTGTTCGTTATATTAATTTGTTATAAACTAGTGTTTGAGAAAGCGGATTGATTATACAGAAGTCACTAGCCGCGCCCGCGAATGCTCACCAATGCGAGATCGAAGTTTAATTGACACACACTTGAGAAATCATGATTATTCATACCGACCGATTCGATCGAAGAAAATCCGTCATTGGTCTTTATGCCGCGAGCTCCTAATTGACCCGTCATCGGAATCGATTGCGCGAGACATTTACCGGCCGTGTTGCGCGCGCGCGCTTGCGACGACCAGCCTCTATAAATTAATATCTTAAATGTCGCGTCGCGTCGGCGCGAGAGAGTGACGTTACACACCCGGTGGGTACTTTGCGTTTAACCCTTGCATAATCCACGTCGTTTCGCGTAAAGTCACTAAGATTCACATCAAAGGTTCCTCGATGCAGTCAGGCGGGCGAAAGGGCACGAACGAACGCTCGTAACCAGCCGCGGGCCGTTAGGCACATATGTTAAAGCTGGGAAAGCTATAATTTTAATCTTGGTTCAATTTATTCCTTATCTTTTTTTTCTAATTCTATACCGAGGGAAAAAAAAATTATTTATTTGATTAAATTAATTGTTTAATCAAATCAATGATTTTTTTTCAGTGTAGAATTATGGGATTGCCACAAAACTGGAAATTAGAGGAAGAATTTTGCAAATTTTTCTGAAAAATTAAGATTCTTGATTTTAAAGAAGCTTAATGTACACTATTAAAAATTTCATGAAATTTAATGTACTTTGAAGTTACACAATTTGAATTTAATTTAATGACATTACAGCGATGAAATCTTCATATTTATATCTCATTATAATCATTTATGTCAATTAGTGTCTATTATGTATAATTTATTATAATTGTTGTAACGATGCTTGAATCCATGTTAGATTGTAATTGGAGATTTGCTTAAGTTCTGCTATCCGCACACCACTCAGCTTTGCAACCGGATGGAGCAGCATCAAATATGTTAGAAGATAGTATTCTCTCACGACGTGAGAATTCCAACGCAATCTCAATATGACTGTTAAAGCGGCGATCATGCGAGATTCAGTTCAACTTTATATGGATAGGGTGAGAAGTGACGATTGTTTTTTGCTGAAGATGGTTAAAAATGTTAGAGCCAAAACGTCCAAATTTGTAATTGAATATTAAATACATCATGTAAACATACGTATTTAATAACTAGCGAATACTCTTTATGCCCGCACATTCAAATACATTTTACTAATTCTTTGTTTCAATGACATTACATGAAATTTAATATATTTTCATGAAATTTTATGAAATTTAATGTACTTTTCATAAAATTTTATGAAATTTAATGTACACGTTCATTACATTTAAGTAATTATACTGTAACTTAGTTTTCAGTTAAATCATTCATTACTTTTAATTTCATTCATAACCACGAAACATTCATTTATATGTAAAGGAAAGCATTTCTAACAGTGTACGTCACACCTACGCAGTTTTCGAACTACTAATAATTAAAAATGCAAGCAGTGTTAGCAACATTAATAGTAAATTTACATTGCCATGTTAAATTAATCTTTCAACAAAATATTTAACGGTTTCCAAATCGGTACACAACATTTTAGCATAGAAAGGGAAAATTATAGCAAAAGGGGAAAAGTTATAGAATTTTAGAAATTTGTGGCAAAACCTTGAATTAGAACTCGAGCGAGAGAAAGAGATGATAAACGGGAAGGAATAAGATTTTTTTCCGACTGTTTCAATTAGTACCGGTGGGCATTCAGGCAGCGTGTCGTCAATTATCGTTTCGTTTTCTCATTCTGCGAAAAAGGGCACCTGGTCCAGGAGTGAAATACATCCGCGCTACGCTTCATTTGCATACGGCCCGCGCGTCTTTCTCTCGCGAGGAAAGAGAGGCGGAGTAGCGTTGAGAGCGAATACGAGTAGGAGCCACGAGCGGCGACCTGAATGAGGAAAGAAGTGTTGCGTATACGCTATACGTACGGGCACGCATAGCGGCGGCATGAGTCGCTCAGGGGCGTAACGTCGTCGATCTGAGAGAAGAGGAGAGGAAAAGAAAGGAATGTATAGCTGCGTCTTCCTGGTGGCTCTCCCGCGCGTTTCCTTAACGAGACTCAAAGCGAGGCTGTTGCCGTTAGAACTCCATATTAATAAAA